CCTTAGCTATAGGTTGTTTTCGTTCTAATGCTTTGAATTGGTGGAAGCTAGTTTCAAATATCTATTCGCGTTATTGGTTTCGTAATTTGGATGATTGGAATGATTTGAGAAGTGCTTTGCGAGAAAGATATGCTGGTACTAACACCTTTGATGAAGCAAAAGTGAAGTTGCTCAATTGTAAGCAGAATGGTAGATCCATTCAATCTTACTTTGAGGAATTAGAGGGGTTGTTTCTGAGTTCAGAAGTGGATGAGAACGACTACATGTTGACAGACCGTTTCCACTATGGCTTGGACAAGTGTTTCAAACAACATCCAAAGATAAGGAGACAATCAAGGCTCTATGAGGCATACTATGCTGCCTTAGAAGTGGAAAGAGAGCATGATACTTCTTGTGGTTGGAATAGTCCAATTGAGGATCGGGGTTGGTGTTTGGCCGAAGATGGAGATCAACGGACTTGTATCTTCCGTACTAAGTGTTCGGTTGGGTGGTCCAATGAAGTTGATTTGGTAATCGACGGTGGGTCGAGTACTGATTGTGTAAGTGAGGAATTTTGCATAGCAAACGGAATTAAGATGGATCCGCATACTAGACCATACAAGCTTCAATGGTTGAATGAAGAGATGGTTGTGGATGTTACTAAAAAGGCCATGGTACCTTTTGATTGGTGAGTATAGGGATGAAATTTACTTTGATGTAATTCCTATGTCTCTTTGTGATATTTTGCTAGGTAGGCCTTGGCGATCGGATGTAGATCTTGTGCACCATTGCTCGAAGAATATCTTTGTCTTTACTAAAGAGGACAGAAAATACATTCTTAAGCCTTTGGCTTATGAAGAATCTGAATTTGTGCGAGAGAAAAGACGTAAGATAACCTGTACACAAGGGAGAGAAAAAGTCGAGCGAGTGACGCAAGAAAGTAAAAAGGGTCACGATGAGGTAAGACTTGAGGCGAGAGAAAACCATGAAAATAGCGTGGAAACAGAAATAAATGCACGCAATGAGAGAAAATCAGAGTGTGGTGAGGGTGAGGATTTTACTAACCCTTATATCTCGTTTGTTCCTTGTGCAGGTATAGAGGTTGATGATTCGAGGACGAATCCTCGTAAAGAAGGAGGGGATGATGAGAATCATGTAGCCTTCCATGGAGGTTCTCCTAGTGAGGGGAATGAGCTAGTCCTTCATCCTAGTTTTGGAATGCCAAGTTTACTTTGCAGGCCAATCAAGGAAGAAAGGATGGATCTTGACTACCTATGTGATAGGGAGTTGGTTCAAAAGAGCTATGATCAAGGTGATGAGAATGTCATTAACTTTGGGGTTCAAACCAAAGGAGATGAAGACCTCATGGAAATAAGTGCTGAAGAGTATCAAGAGAGTTTGACTCTATGTGCTCCATGAAGATCATTGATCAAGCTAGTGAGAAGAGTCATTTAGGTTCTTGAGTGGACGGCCTATTTGATCAAAGTGTTCAAGATTGAGTCCATTGCTACACAATTGGATAGGTTGCAAACTATCTTAATTGTTTCAAGTGTTTTTCCAATCTTTTGGAGTCAATAAGGTGAATTCTACAAGTTTTGGAGTAAATTGGAGGTTTCTACAACTTAAGGGGCGCAAGACCAATATTCCACTTTTGGAAGGGCGTTCAAGACATTTTACTTCAATAATTTGGAGCTGAATTTCGAAATTAGAGTCATTGTCTAAGTCTAGGAGTTATTTTCGAATTTTTATCTAGTTAAATAAGTCATGTGGACTGAATTAAGCTAGAGTGTTTTGATTAGGAGTCTTAGATTCCTTCTAGATATTATCCTACTTGAGGATAAGTCATTTAGATAAGGTTTCCTAGATTTTAGATAGAGTCAAAGAGATCAAGTACTCTTCTACTTTTACTCCTTGTGAGATAAGATTAGAGAGTCCTAATTGGTCTTCTTTTTAGTGGTGCTGGCCGAAAATTTAAGCCTATATATAGGAGGCTTGGCCGAATTTTAGAAGCACCCTTGAGTGGTCATTTTTGTTGTCTCTTTTGAGAGTTTTTCCTGTGAGAAATTTTTGTTAAATGGAGTGTCCATTTTTCGTGTCAAGTATGATTAAACCAAGAGGGTTTTCATCTTGTCTTGGATCTTTTTGATCTTGCAGAAACCATTCTTTTTCAAGTATGCTTCTTGATAGAATTGTTTTAAAACTAAACTTCTTATTTTCATACTACTTCTAGTAGTTCGATTGATGAGCCTTTCCTTTGGCTTGGTGTTTGAATTTCATGATGAGTGTGTTCATGAGATCCATTGTGGGGTTTGTCCTACTTTTGTTGGATGAGTTGTGCTTTGGCATAAGCATTTTGAGATAGTGTATGTCTTGCATATCTTTGATTGGTTATGAAGATTACTAATCAATAGTATTCCTTCATAGTTGGGCATTATTTGCTCCTACCTTTCTTGAGTCTCTTGATAGATGACTGATCGAGTATATTGAATGGTGTCCTTGCTATTCTTAGCGTGGGTTGTTGTTTAATTCGAATCTTTCATGGATAATGTGTTCTTTGCTTGGTTTGAGTTAAGAAAATCACTTAGATAAACGATCGTCTTACTGTGAATTTTCTGCACTCTTTTGAGTTTCACGGGATAGACAAAATTATCTCCGTACTTTCTTGTTGATAGTTGCATTAACGAAATTTGCTTCGTCTACGAGATTGCTATCACGTCTGTTATGAAATTAATTTAAGAAAATGTCTTACAAAGATTAAACAAAAACACCATGACATTTTCTATGCACTATGCTATCCATACTATCCTAATCTAAGCTTCCAAAATTAATTAAATCTTACATCGGGGAAGGAGTATTTTTCCAAATAGCATTTCCCTCGTAAAATACCTGGGAGATCATCCTGATGAATATAGTGATTGGTAGCTCCACTTGCAGCCTGTGAACAGATAAACTTATTCATTGATTGTATTTACTTATATTATTATTATTATTATTATTATTATTATTTTCCCAAAAAAATGGTTCAAATTTTTTATTTTTATTTTTTTTACAAGAAACTATACACAAATGCATTGTCATTTTCATTTGATTCTTGAAACACAAAAAAAACATAGGGAACAAATCACTCTAAAATAGATTAATTAAATCAAAATTAGCCATCAAAAATCTATTTAAAAAACCAAAAACTTATATTTATATACATATACACATGATAAAAAAAGTCTCATAGTCAAACCAAGATATAAACTGGAATAAATCAAAGACTACATTCAATTATTATCCAAATCGAAATAGTATATTTTTTTATTACTAAATTAATATATAATATATTATATCACCGCCAACGTGCGAGAATAATACTAATATTAATAAACTGGGAGGCTACTGAACGCCCTAATTTTTTCATTTGAACGCCCTAAAATTCTTAAAAAGACTATTTTACCCTTGCATTCATATTTTTTATAAAAAAAAAAGGTGGGAGCGACGGAGCATATGCGCCACCCTTTAAAGGGGTGGCGCACAATTTTCTTGCCTCCCAATTAAGGGAGGCGAGAGGGAATATTACCCCCAAAATGGGGGTGGCGCAAAAATCTGGCGCCACCCCCTTCGGTTTGGCGAGCGTTTTGCTCGCCAAACCGAAATTCCTTTTTTTTAAAATTTTTTCTATTTTTTAATTTATTTAATTAATTAATTATTTTATTTATTTATTTATTTAAGTTTATTTTTTATTTATCTACTTAGCAGTTAAAAAATATTAAAAAATTAAATAAATAAATAAAATTATTTTATATTTTTCCATGCTTTTTAATTTTTCGTTTCAACGTATTTTAAATTTTATTTTTTTTTTCAAAAAAAATATTCCCAGGACGGCTAGATGCACCGATGATGAATTAATTTGTTTGGTAGTAAATTCATAAGTTTTAGTTTTTATTAAATGATAATTTTTTGTTTACGTTTAAAAAATTTTACATAACTAAATGATAAATTTTTATAAAAATTTACTACATAATTAAGCAACATTCTCTAAATATTTAAGTTAAAATTATTTGTTTAACCACCAAACAAATAAATAAACTTTAATAAATAAATAAATTAAGAACGTACAAGAATTAAATAAATCAAATAAATATATGAATTAAATAAATTCATTAAACTAATAATTAAAATAAATAAAAGAAATTAATTAAATACATTAAAAATAATTAAATTAAAGATAATTAAATAAATAAAATAAAAATTAAAAAATTAAAAAAAAAAAAGTAATTAAGGTGGGTGGCGCACAAAATGGCGCCACCCACCCTTTGGTTGGCGAGTAAAAAGCTCGCCAACCAGCACAAATGTGGCGCTCAGAAGGGCGCCACACCTTCGCCATGCGGCGAAGGTTAAGGGGTGGCTCATTTCTCCCTCGCCATACATTTTTTTTTGCAAACCAACTCTATTTTGCAGGGGCGTATATGACTTTTTCGGGCGTTCAAATGAAAAAATTAGGGCGCTCAACAGCACTGACCCTTAATAAAAGAACTTTACGAAAGAGCAAATAGAGTTCACTTTTCATCCAAGCATCCACCTATTGTTCACAACCAACAAACGCGGCAAGGCTTAAAAAGAAAAACAAAGGTACAAAATGCAGAAAAATTGTTCCATAGTCTCTAACTAAAATAATATGCAAATTGGAATATTTGTCTAGTGCCCAAAAAAACAATCTCAATTGTACACATGAAGCTCAAAAGCACTCGACAAATATTCCACTTTGCATCTTATTTTAGTTAGAGACTACGGACAATGCTTTATCCAATCCTCAAACAAAACTTAGTGTATAACATCGGGTCAAACATTTAAGTAACGACCATTACACATTGATTGGACCAAACGAAATGCTATAAATCAGTTCATACGCGCAACATCTCCATCCCGTGTTAAATTGCAGCCATATTTGCAAACTATCAAAGCACAAAGCGTATTCAAGCTGAAAAGGGCTCATCTTTGAAGAACAATAAGAAATCGTTCAAGCTAAGTGCAGATCATCCTCTCTTCCCATCTCGCTTCCATTTATTCTCCGCGGAGGTTCTTCTGGGGACAGAAGCCGCGCCCTTAGCAACGGTTCTGTTATGGCTTCCGAATTTAAGTGGTACAATGGTTTTGATGTATGAATGACCAGGAAAGTTCCTTTTCTCTTTAGGCAGTGGCTGCAGTTCCGACAACCAATAAGCTACAAACTTCCCTTCAGGATCATAATTTTGAGCCTGCACCAGGCCAAAAAAAATCAGGCACCATGAAACAACCCACTTATTCGATTCATTATAAATTTTAGCTCCTATAACTCTCACACAACAAACTTAACTTATAAACTTACCCAGGATCTATATGCATGTGATGCGGACAAGAAATGGTAAAAGGATGCCATCACTAGGTTCTCCCATACTTACACCCAAGATCATCATGATCCGAGGAAGAAACCAAAGTGTTAGACTTTGGTTCAGTTAATCTTTATTTAGCAGCAATTCAGTTAGTTTATTATTCTCTGCAATAATTTTTAGGCAGCTACTGTCTATAATATATGGTGGATGAGGAATCAGTTTCAACATGGAGGAACGGTGTTGAGAGGGGAGGTCTCTTTTGAAAAAATTAAACAGGAGACCAAGAGGAGAAGTAAAGGCTGCTGTAAAAAGTTTAGCCCAAGTGAAAAAGTGTACTTAGACAGGATTGGTATCCATGTAAATTGAGCATAGGATTGTTGTTGAGCAGATGATTGTTATAGAAGGAGGCAGGACGTAATCTGGGCATGGTTGAACTGATCAATAAAATTAACCTTTCACCAAAAAAAAATAAAAACTAAAAAATTTAGGGTATTTAGGTAAGAGTCATCATTGACAATCCCTTTTAGCTTTGTGCTAATAATGGACAAGATCAAACTGGCTCTGTTAAATTTCAATGCTTCTTCTATTAGTGAAGTTGCTGGAAATAAAAATATCAAATGACAAAATGTACCTTGGGTCGCTATGGAAACAGCCTTTGTCTAATTACAAGGGTAAGGCTGCTTTCAACTGACCAAAGGAAATTAGGTGTGAATCCTAGTTGTAACTCATGGGGAGAATTTTCAGTTTACAGCCACCGTTAATAAAAATTTCCTGCGAAGAAGCTTTGCTTTTGCATTATTGTGTGATACAACAAAACCCCCTTGATGTGATGGCTAGGATTACTGCGGTGTGATGCCAAAGGGCCCTAAGAGTGATTCTTAGGTTTTGTTCTTGTCTCCTACTGTTTCCTCTGTTTTCCCTGGGATTTTTACCTTGTATTCCTACAGAATTCTTTGAATTTTTTCTCTGCTGCGTTACACTCTTTAATCAGCCTACGGTCTGATTTTCTTTACCACCAAGTTGGTCCTACATCAATTTCGTGATCCTGGAATTCCAAAGATCGATTTTGTTTTTGGAAAAGATCATGACAAGAAGCAGCCTAAGAGCTAGTTTTCTTAACTACAATGCTGTACCTACATCAGCATGCTTCGCTGGAAATTTTTTTGAGCTGTTAATCTCTCATCACGGGAAAGTTCCAAGGTATGGAAACACTCGAGACACACTATGGCTTCTTATCAAACCAGCCGTGGTATCATAGAAACCTAGAACCCAAAAGGGGCATTTTACAAGTCCAATAGATACTGAAAAAAACATCAGCGCTCCTCAAATTTGTTATAGATTTTTTGTAGCTCAAAAGACACCGTGACTGTCTTTCAACCAAACTCCAAAACTCAAAATTTGGAGAGAAATGAAGTAAAAACGTTGACATTAAACGAAACTCCAAAACTTAGAGAGAGAACTACCTCATGAAATTCATCACTTGATTTCTTTAAAGATCTCAAATAGAAGGAAAGTTTTGAAGTCATTCACAACGCCGCAGGAAAACAACATAAAATTAAACAATCTCAAACTGTACAAACTACACACCAAAAGAAAAAAGAAAAAGGTGAAAGAACTCAACAATGTTATGATGAAATCCACGAAAACATTCAAATCCTGCTAAATTGGCTTCAATTGAATTAAGACTAAAAATGGGGCAAAAGGGGCAAAACCTCGTAGCTCTCCATAATAATGAAGCACTATTTAATCTCCCACACGAGAAATCAGACCATATTAAATAAAACTACCATATTAAGGTCATCTTGGTGAACTTTCCGAAGAAAGAGAAAAAGTAAAAGGAGAAAGAAACAAGATTTTAAATTAAACAAAAAATTCCATTTCTCCTACAACTTATTTTTTCATTAATCTCACCTGCTTAGGAATGCTGAAGTAGCGATCTTCTCTGGGGTCATTTCCCACACCTAAATAAAAGATCAAAAAAGCCAGGTCACTCTAGATACAACTAGAAGGCAGAAATTCATGATCACCCAACAACCGACACTGTTGAATGAAGGGTGCATTTTTTAAAAGATGAAACACTCAAAATTTATTTTTTACATAATGTCAGTTTTAAGAAATAATAAATCTATGTGATATGATAAAAAAAAATTGGTGATGTAAAAATTTGAAAATTTTAAAGAAAGATGTACTATGTTTGTTCAACATTTGAGGTCATCACAGGACGTGTTTTGACAGAAAAACTAATCAAAATTTCTGTTTTCATATAGACATGTTTGAACAGAATTCTTCAGAGATTTTTACTCTAATAAATGTTTGAACAACCATTTTCTTTCTCTTCAATAGCCATTTTCTTCTGATGATCCTGCTTGATTCAGTTTCCCCTTTTCATTTTCTTTAATAGCGATTTTCTTCTCTTGTCAGAGCTGATTAGAATCTCAATCAATGCACAATGCTGAAATTGTGTTTCATCTTACAGGGAGAAAAAAAAGCCAGGCACAGAAAGGAGAATACCTGCGCCGTACGTCCAGTTTCCATAGTTGGAGCAGGGATCATAATCTAAAAGGCAAGATTCAAACCACTCTGCTCCCATCCTCCAATCGATTCCCATGTCTCGGACAAGAAAGGAGCATACAATCTGTGAAAAGTGGTGAAGATGTTTGAAGTTGTAAATCTGGCTGAGAAATTGCTTATATTCTAAACCACAGAAACATGATTTCGCATCTATCCACATTTCTATAAAGAGGATTTCTACCTGTCTACCTCGGTTTGACATGAACCCTGTTGTAGAAAGTTCTTTCATATTTGCATCTACAAGAGGGTACCTAAATATATGGATGCATAAGACGATCAAGAGAGGACAATAAATGACTTATGACATTCTCTGTTAACTAGCATCAATATTTCTGTTGTTATATCCTTTCCGATTTTTTTTTTCCCCTTTTTGAGCAAGAAACAATAGAAGGCACGATCAATTGAAAGCATGAAAATGGTGTTAACCATTCTCATTGCAAGGCCAAAAAACTAATAATATACCCGGTACGGCCATCTTTCCAAGCATCAAAAAGATTACGATCCGTACTCCAGTTATTCTCAACTTTCCTGGGCCCACCTAAAAGGAGGTAACAAAATAGTGAAATTCCAATCTGAGATGACTGAAATCCTAAGAACACCCAAAAGAAGGGCAAAAATGAGTCAGCAACAGAACCTTTTGTATTACCTAGATGAAAGAGGGAGTTCCCCTGCTTAATTGAAAGAAACCTGAAGTAATCTCTCCAAATCAACTCAAACACAAGCCTGAAAAAATACAATGTTTTTATCATAAGAATCCTTAAAAACTGTAGGATTTTGAACACGCATACACTAATTTAGTCACATATATTGCTAAGCTTCGTAGATTAGTAAGGGGACAGCAAGATCAGATTATCAAAAATCAGAATGTGAAAGACTAATCGAATATGACAAGTGATACAAAGCTAGAACTGTAATTTAATATCCATTTTTAAATATTCAGTTACCTAAGGGACTTGGACTTTTTATTGGGGGAGAGAGATAGAGAGAGAGAGAGAGAGAGAAGGGGAGAGAGAGACAACCAGTATGTTGAATTATTTGATTGGCGCTCAGCTTCATATCTCTTTACCTAAGAAAAATGGAACACATAACTTTAAAATGAATTGACAGATTACTCGCATTACTCTCCACACATTATATATCAGTAATAAAATCACAATATACCTCATCATGAATAAGCCTAGCAGAAAGGCAACCTGTTGCAAGCCAAGGGGAGAATTTCGTGGAGTAATCAGGACCTAACATCCCATTGCGAGTTTCCTTATAAATCCCTAGTAAATCCTATTATTAAAGGGACAAAAAAAAAGAAAAGAAAAAAGCATTAAAAGTAAGAAATTCTAGTCATGAACCACACTCAAATGAACTTCTAGCAAGCAGTAATGCGTACTACAATGAAGGAACAATGACATTTGCAAGGGTTAGGTACAATGATAACGTCTACGAATAATCACTCACACACGAACACACACACACACACAGATGACAGATGAAAGAAATGTAATCAAGTCAAGTACCAACATCACGAATCCCTTGCAAAACTTTCTTAATATGTAAGCAAACTAGTGTTCTTCTATGGTTTCATTCAACATTCTAAAGGAAAAGTCTTGACTTTCACGTGTGAGAAAAGCTCTTGCCTTATTCCAGAAGTACTCATGTAGTCTACTTAGCCCTGCACTTTCACCACCTAGAAATCTCATTCCTCTGTCAACCTGAATTAGCACAAGAAGTAACGGTAAAGGTGCAGTAGGTACTAAAATGTAAAGCACGTATATGAGGGCATTGGTTAGAGATAATTACAAACAAAAGAAAACTTGCCTTTGGTATCTCAACCGCAAACTGAGAAATTTCTGAAAAGCAGCCCCAGTCACCAACTTGTGGTGGTGGTCCAAGTGCTGATGGGAGCTTTACAGAACCACGTACTTTAGACTTGAATTCAACAGACTACAAGTTGGACATCATCAAGAAAAATTGACAAAAAGACATTTACCAAGGGATTTGTGAACTGTAACCTAGAAAATAAGGAGTAAAACCTCACCTTACGAAATTGTGTATATACATCTGGCAAAATCTTACAATCAAATGGAAGATCATCTATATGATACATACTACCACCCCAAATCAATTTCAATCTGGTACCATATATGGAATTTGATTCAGATGCTGAAGAGGTGACCAGTTTCAAATTACGAGCCACCAATTGTTCAACATTCAACTCTTCACTGCATGTTTCTTTTTGAGCATATACCTAAAAGATTAAAGCCCATACTTAATTGGACAGTTTAAAAACCAAAACCAGCTTACAAGTTCATGAATGGAATACACATTGGAATGGAGACCGCTTAACTGTGTGTGCTGCATATGCTTTTGCTAAGGAAGGTAGAAGATCTTCTGGTTTTCCTTGTTTAATTAGTAGGTCAAGACCATGTTTAGTTAAGTTTCTTTTTAAATCGACCAAGGACTCCATGAGAAACCGAGTCCTCAAAACTGCCAAAAAAGGATTTCAACAACTATCATTAAGAGGATCTACAATCACATAGAATCACAATGCTGCCTAAAGACATAATTTACTGGCACCAAGCTTTTCTTCCACAAGAAGAAGCAATAACAGTTTACATTTTCCAATTTCCCATAATATACAAGCTGAAAGGGGAAAAAACACCATTTATTACCTAGCAATCAAAATGGAAATGTCAAATAATTCATCTGATTATTAAACTAATTCTAGAAACTGCAATGGTCACTCGACTTCACAGTAAAAAACCAGTTCTAGACCTTTAATTTGAACCTTGGATTTAAATGACATTTCAAATGGCCCATAAAAATTGAGTGAAGCAAAATTTGAAGGCAACTTAAAGTTAGAATGCATAAAATTTCAGCAACACACTTTTTGGGATTGCAGTCATCTTATGAAGAGTTCAGTAGACTAGGACCAAAATATATTTACAATATGCGAATTATGCATAAATTGGAACTAGGATTCAAGTCCAAAGTTATGCAATGCAACAATGAAACGAAAAAAGTTTACCACTATACCAGAAAAATACGTTCTTTAATCCCCAAAAAAGGGAAGTGCAATCAGTATCTAGAAATAAGGGGCTCGGCTACTTAGAAGGTAGGAGTTCACACCGGACAATCTCTTTCAACATGAATTGAAACCGGATGGCATCGGAAGAAAGAGCCCTGAGAACTATTCATTGCAGAGACATGTTCTAAAAATCATGAATCTAACCCCTGTGACCTAGTTCCTTGAAAACATCCGGAACAATGCATGGAATGTATCTGTCATAAGAAACATGAATGATTCAGAAAAGCATTTTGCTGCACCTATCCCAAAACCGTCCTCCCAAAATGCTTAAAACAAGAACTGCAAAAGAGACAGTCAGCGGGTGCTACTAGCCGAAAATTTTCCGCAGGGTTTAACCACAACAGGAAGTGAAAATTCCGTCGCTAATGAGCAGTACAACCTCGTCAACGATTCACTAAGAAGAAAAACCATTACTCACAAATAAAAAATGAAAACAAACACTCCAGTGCATGGAGAAAGGAAAGAACATACCCAGAAGTAACAACGAATAGTCACGATTTCACAATTACAAGAATCCAAGGACAAAAAATAATGTGCATTAATTTCAGAATAAAATCCGACTTTAGTTTTTGAAGAATCACCTCCAGTTTTCGGGAATCCAAAATTATGGGTCGAGCCGAAAAGCCTTGGATCAACGCAATAAACGGGTAAAACAGCCTCAGATGAAATCCAAGCCTGGAACAGAGCCTCGTTGTCGAGAATCCTCAAATCATTCCGAAACCAAACGATAGCCACCCCTTTGCCTTTTCTTGTGGGCATTGAAGAAGACGTGTACCTTTCAAAGGTTCGCTCCACAACGGTGCCCATTTCTTCAGCAGTAAGTCCCGGAACTAATTGAACCCCGGCAGCCGGCGGTCGAGAGGAGTTGGAGTGGTGCATTGCCGACGAGATTGTTGGATTGCAGAGGCAGTGGTGGATTCGGGGAGAACGAAAGAGTAACAGGGATGTGGACGTGGCGGTGACTGATGATGAGGAGAGTGCCGAAGTGATTGAAATTTGAAAATGGTGAAAATGAAACATATTTTTGATGTAGTCATTGGAGTAAGCGAGTGAGAAGAGAAGAGCGCATGGAGAAAAGAAATTTGGTGGTGGAAACTGTGTATGTGTTCTTTTCATAACCATTTGTTCGTTTCAACTTTCGAGCGGTTAGGAAGTTTACACGTGTCATACTGTGGTTCTGCCCAAATGAAAAATTATTAGGTAAAAGCCGGTAGGTTCGAGTTTTAACCGCAACCGGACCGTCGGTTCATGAACCGGACCGGAACCATGACCCGACCTTCTAGTCAAAGGTCGATTACGGTTTAAGCATTTCAAAACTGTAATTACCGGTTCAAATAAGCGATTTTGAACTGACGATTCAAACCGTCAAAAACCTCCGATTAACTGTCGATTTCATAAAAATAAGAATAAAAATTAGTTTTTATAAACACATAAAGACTAATTACAGTAAAACCTCCCTAAATTAACCCTCTATTAATTAATAACATCTATTAAATAATATATTTTCGGGTCCCAACTCGGGACCAGTACAAAAAATATAAAAAAAAAAACTCGATTAATTTATGATATAATAATTTTTCAAGAATCTCCTATGTAAATATAGGTTCCCACAATTTCATAAATTAATAAATACCTAAAATTATAAATTAGATTTGAAGATTAACGTAAAATTTTAACTTTGCATTCTTGTTTATGTTTGCAGTTATCATGTTCTTGGTCCATAACAAAAATTATAATGTTGTGGTTAGGGTTGCAACAGACTTTTTTTGCTATAAAAATGATAAAAAAAATTTCATTTTCTTACTAATAGGATTGGAAAAACTCTTTAAATTAATAAAATATTAATTTAATGATAAATTAATAATTTTATAAATTAATAACTTTTTGGGAGGCCCAAGTGTATTACTTATAAAGGTTTTACTGTACTATCTCATTTTTAAAATAGATGTCCATTTTCTAATTCGTGGTTGTATCAAAGTATAGGTATATTTTATTTTTCAATAATAATTTTTGAATTTATTTCCATAGTACCCTTGTGTTTTAAATATCATTTGTATAGTCTTAACACACAAATACTAAAAATTAAGTGGACGATCTAATTAATTAGGGGTTAAATAGAAGTTTTTTCATTTGGTAATGATTAGCTCCTTACTCTTGTAATTCTCAAAGTATGTAATTTTTAATTGTTTTTTTGTCAATATTCATGTTTTATTGTTTTTATATTGTTATTAGACTTTTTTTTTAAGAGAATCAGGACGGTACTTGGTGGACATTCTACCGATTTTATTAATTAAAAAAAAATGTATGTAGGCAGTGGTTAAGACTTACCCAATAGAAAAGAGTATGTCGTATAAAGATTTGTCTAAAAATCCCATGACAGCTCTATATGTTTTAGATGATGCCTTACAAAGATTTATCTAAACTCCATGCATCTCTTTATGACATTTAGAAACTAAGAAAGTGTCTCACAAAGGTTAGAACATTAACCCTACGACACTTCTATTTAAAAACAAAAAAACTTAAGACTATACTATTCCAGTACTATTCAATTGGCCTATCTTTAAAAGTTTTTACAATGCGACCTAACTACTTTATTCTTATATAAGGGAAAGAACACTTATCTAAGTACTATTTACCTCTTAGGGAGATTAGTAGTTCATTATAATGATCATATTGCTTTGTATCTCCCATTGAAGCCCTTTTTGCTAGATCATCCGCATTGCATTTACCTCCCGGAATATATGAATGATTTTGGAATTTGAAGCATTGAGTAAAGCCCTTATTTCCTTGAAAATTGGTTGAGACCACCATGGAAAGATTGTCTTTTCTTGGAGGATGTTGGCGATCCCTTGATTATCCGTTTGAACAGTTACCTTTCGTATTCTTCTTTCCACACAGAATCTTAATCCATGAAGAATGGAGGATGTTGGCGATCCCTTGATTATCCGTTTGAACAGTTACTTTTCGTATTCTTCTTTCTACACAGAATCTTAATCCATGAAGAATTCCTTGTAATTCAGCTTCCAAGCTGTGAGCTATTTCAATATATTTACTTTCTGCACGCACTAGAATGCCTTTTTCACCTCTTAGCACAAAGCCGAATCCCGCTTCCCAGGCTGCCCAAGTGCCGATCCATCCGTATTTAGAATCATCTCTCCTTCATTTGGTGGCTGCTATCTCAGAGCTATGATAGACTTTCGTGGCACTGGTAGAACTTGAACTTTGAACATTACCTCTAATTCTTGTCTCTCCTCTTGCGATCTCACTCTCAGCTTGTGAACACTCAATAAATTTGAAACATGAGTTACAACTAATTTAATTAAAATTCTTAAAGAGAAACATGTACCTTCCTGTATAATTTTATTACGGCATTTCCATATTTCCCGTAGTAGGAAAATCGATAATGTCATAATAATTGTTTTTCTCGCCCTTGTGTAGCTTCTAATCGCATGCCATGCTTGAAGATTGCTCCACCATCCTGCATTATTAGAAGAAGAAATTCCTAAAAGAGAAGCAAAATGAGTCCATACCTGACTTACCTTCGAGCAACCATAGAAAACATGTTCCATATTTTCTTCATTTTCTTTACAAAAAGGATACGTTGAGGGACTCGAATGGATTCCAATTGGTGAAGAATTTCTGGAAAAGGCAACAAACGATTAAAATGTTTCCACATGAAAAAAAAATTTTTAAAGGTGAAACATTATTCCAGAAATTTTTTAGACTAGGGATCTCCTCCCTTTTTTTACTAATTTCAAAATAAGTTGCTGAGATTGAAAAACTCCCTATTGAACTTGGTTTTTATGCCAGATAGTCCGGTTCCTCATTGAAAATCATTGTCATTGATGATAAGCTCTGAGTGCTTGTGGATGCAAAAAATCCTTCAATACCTGCAAGAAAAAATCTTTGGAAGCAAAAAAATCCTTAACCGTTAAATCCGGTCAAGGGGGGTTAGAATTTTTATTACTTAGAATCCCTAAGTCCAGCCACTGATTATTCCAAAAAGAAGTGGACCCATCATTGATGATCATCTTGCAATTTGCTTGCGCCTTTTGATCCACCTTAGCAACCCTTTTTCAACTTGTTTTTTCCTTAACCAAATCTGACAGAGAGGAAACAAACATTGCCCAAACTCCTTGCTTTGTTTGTATTTTCCACCAAAGTTTCATAGCAAACGCCTCAATGGTATCCTCCACTTTTCGAGACCCTAATCCATTTTCAGCAATCGGAAAAGTGATCTTCTTCCAAGCCTTCCAATGACGTTTACTGCCAAACTCATTGTCTCCCCATAGAAAATATTGACATTTTCTTTCTAACTCATCCACTATTGATTTTGGAGGAGAAATTGCAGCTATTGTGTGAATTGGAATTGCCGATAGAACATGCCTTATTAGGACTATTCTTCCTCCCGCCGACAGCATTTTAATTTTCCAATTTTCCAACTCCATCTCAAAAGAATCTATAAGATGCTGAAAGTTCTCGGCCTTTTTCCTTCCTTTAAAAATGTTACAACCCAAATATTTAAATGGAATAGTGCCTTGTGGCATTTGTAGAGTTTCAACCACCATTTGAATGTGATCCGCACTATTCTTGTCAGAAACCAAAAAGCTACTCTTGCCCTTATTCATTTTTTGTCTCGTAACCTCTTCATATTCATATATTGTTATTAGACATTAGAAAAATTGTAATGATAATTCATTTTTTTGAATAAATTTTAAATATCGCCTAATATATTTATTTTCGTTATTATTTAATAAAATCAAGAAAATACATGTAGAATTTGTCCTAATTTAATTAAAAGAATTTGTATTAAATTTTTTTGCTAGGCGAACAATCATATATCATTATAAACATATTTTGAGGATTTGAATGAGTTTCTTTAAAACCAAACACGAAATTTTCAATTTTTTTTGAAAAACACAAGGCAAAAGAATTGTAAAAAAATTGGGCTAAAATCGTAAAAGAATCGGATTGAAACAGTTAACAAACCGGAGGGTCCAGAACCAGAATCGACCCAGAACTGTACCTCAACCAGAGGTTTACAAATTGTAATCATAACCGTAGAATTAGTGACCGGTTATGGTTCATTTGTATCTTGAACTGTAAACTTGTGGTTCTGCAACGTGGTCATGCCCAGGTGTATCCAAAGGACTACTCCTTTTCCCGTGGCTTGCTCGGGTGCTGTAAAAATGTAAGGAGTAAAAAAACTCATAAACTTTAGATAACATTACTAAACTATAACAACAGTCATGAGTATTTTTTTCTTGCGCAAGCTAGCACTGTAAAATTGATCAGATCTCGTAGCCAACTTTTGTGTCACCCAAATAACAACAACAAAATTGAAGGGCTAATACATACAATTGAAAGAGGTAGAGATACCTAATTTGTTTTGGACAATTGTTTTAAGGCCTAATTACCATAAAAACTATTATACTATTCGTAATACCATGAAGCTATCAGTAATACACATTTGAAACTTTTAGAATTTAAATGATAAATAATTGGTCAACCCCTATCTAAAAAGCAAAACTATCACCCAAAATGCTTTTTTAATGCCCATTTAATCCTGCCAGTCTAGTATGCTTTTTTTTAGGAATTTAAATTCATCTTAATAGGTTTTGTCAGATTCTTTCGGATTATTTTCAACCTGTAACCTAATAAAATTAAATATATTTTTTTAATAAAAAGCTAATTAGAGATCAAAGTAAATTAAAGATACCTTTCATTAGCTCCCAAAGGTTGATAGATTTCAATTTTTAGAAACTACATTAGATACAATTGACAATCTTCTTTAAAGAAACAAAAAAAAAATAAAAATAAAAATAAAAAGAAAAAAAGAGAGAAAGATATGCCAAATTTGATGTTCCGCCTCCTTAGGA